GCTAAAAAATTCCTTTTCTTAATTACTGATCAGTCCTTATTCATACTTGATTTTATTGCAGTGGTGCCTTGGATAATTGGGCTGCACCTGGGATAATTGAGCTAAAGACATGAATTGGGCTGCTGAAAGTAAATTGGGCCGCGGGGTCTACTACTTTGCGGGTGTTGCTCCCTCCACCACCACACCTTTCTCCCTCAACCTCCCCAATTTTTTTTTAATTCCAATTATATCCTAAGATTAAAATTTTTTACTTTTACTATTTTAATTTATTTCAAACATAGTTCTCTTACTTTACTCCCTGCACCCAATCTTTCCATCTCTCATTTTCGTTTAACAATTTGTCTTCCGTTTTACTCTGCAACCCCATTTGTCTTCTCCATTTCACTTCTCCTCCTCCGTTTCTTTCTTCTTCATTTTCCTTACATTATTAAAATACATTAAAAATATATTCAAAAATAATAAATCAAAACATTTAAATTAAATTATTAAAATATTTTCAAAATAAAGAATAAACTAATAAAACAAACCCTAAAATAAAAAACGTAACCTTTAAACGGAGGTGACATCCTTCAACGGATGTCAACATCCGTTTAAGGAAAAATGGATGTCGACATCCGTTTTACCTTAAACGGATGTCGACATCCGTTGAAGGATGTTGACATCCGTTGAAGGATTTTGACATCCGTTGAAGGATGTCACCTCCGTTTAAATGTTACGTTTTTTATTTTAGGGTTTTATTTGAAGGTTTATTCGAATACACACCTTGAGGAAGCAACACACGCATTGCACCACTCCACACACTGCACCACTCCACACACTGCACCACGAGAGGGAGACTGCTTGATAATTCTTTCCACCACCACCAACCTTTGCAACTTGTAGTATCTCAAAACGACGAAAGAAAGAGAGGAAGAAATATAATGTTAAAATGAAAGAAAAGTATTTTACTCATGTATGGGGGACTATAATAGATTATTAGTGGAATAGGTTGTGAATGGGTAAAATTAAAAAATAATAACCCTAAAAATAAAATTTTACTTAGGGGCAAAATAGTACATGGGAGGTGGAGGGAGAAAGGTGTGGTGGTGGAGGGAGCAACACCCCTACTTTGCACTGTGCGTGCTGATTGAAAGCAGAATTGGGCTGAAGCGCTTTGGGCTAGTTCTGATTGAATTACCTTTGTTGGTATAGGCCACTACTGATACTTCAATGTTGCATCTGAAGCACCTAATCAACACAAGCAATTGGGCCGCTGTTTTGGCGCTGACCATTGAAGCTATGCGTTTTGGGGAAGCCTGACAGAATATGCTTTCCAAGAGGAGTCAGTACTTTTAGTTTTATTTGGAGAAATAAAAAAGCTCTTCTTCATGTTAAGGTTCAAGAGGGTTTCTAGAGAGTGCGATTTGACCCAGAAGATGAACTGAAGTTGTCACTTACTCAAGGCGCGTGATCAGTGGAGAGGTTGAGTTGATCGAAGGGCAAAGATGAGAGCAGTGCGAGGAAGAATAGTTGAAGCGTTCGATTGGAGGAAGCGTCGAAGAGAAGATTCAAAGCGCCAAGTATCAAGGTTTCTCTTTTCTCTATTCCATTTTCAGACCCTATAAAAAGGGGTTTATGTAATGTAAATAAGGACACTTTAGAGACATTACACACTTTCAGTTTACAGTTTTACAATCTTTAGTTTAGGTTTTTACTCTTTAGTAGAGGTAGATTTCGTGACTTTTGGATTTCGTTGAGGCAATCGCGAGGGTGACAGATCGCGAGAGTCTCGATGATTTCCGGTAGTGTGTAATTTTCTTCTTCGTAATAATAAAGTTTAATTTCGTATTCTTGTTTGTGTTGAATTTGTTCTTTGCTTTTGATTTATGCAATTGTGTTGATTTGAAAACGAATTGGACTCTAGAACTCTGCACATCTGCAATTTCTTTTTGGAATTAAACGACCCCAAGGTGGACGTGCATGATCGAGATGTTTTCTCGAGTTAGAGATGAGTCCAATGCATAAAGACTCATTCGATTTTGTGTTTCTATTCTTTTCCTTCTATTATTTCTATTATGTGTGATTTTAATTCTGTAATTGAACTCTGTTTGAGAATTGTGAAGGAAAACATCCACATTTCTACATCTTTTTTGGATGTTTGAGAGATGTTAAGCTTCATAATTGTCAGACTAAGTTCAATTTCAGGGTTGTATTCCTGTTCTTGTGAAAGTGTGCATTGGTTGAATAATTGAGTGAGAATTTCCATTTTAAGTTCTGAAATATGAACTAAAAAGCACCCAAGGAGGGCTTAAATTTCTCATAATGTCTTTCTGAAGAGGAATTGAGACTCTTTCATTCAATCTATTGCACATTTGCCTCGTGTTCTTTGCTTTGTGTCTAATATCTTTAGTTTGCTTCTTTATTTTTAGTATTTCTGTTGGCTTGATGTTAGAATAGTCTTAGTTTTGATTGTGATTTTAATTTTCCTTCCATTTAAGTTCTGTTATATGTTCCACTGTTCTTAGCATTCTTAGTTAGGTTTATTTTCTTCTTTTCTTGCATCATTTACATATTGTAGTGATAATCTTTAGGTTATGTTATTAGGTAGTAGTAATGTTCATTAGTTTAGGATCATTTTAGTTTCATTTAAATTTTCATATTAGCTTAGATGTTGATGTTTCTGTTTTGAGTAGTTTAGACTGTTATTTTCTTTTCTTCTATTGCATTTCAATTTCTTTATTCTTTTAAATAGATTTTAGTTTAGACTAGTTTCAATTCTTTTATTTTAGTTTCTTTCATTTTTAAGTTCCCCACCTTGTCTTTTAGTTAGTAGTTAATAAATAGTAACAAGAATTAATTCTACACTTTAAGCTTAATTCTAGTCGAGTCCGAGGATTGATACATAGGTTGTCCCTATACTTCATTAGTGGGAAAACTTAGTTTGTTCTGATTTTAGGCTACAAAAATTAGTTTAACAATCTTCATGAAGACTTGTTTTATATTAAAGCTTTTGTCTTTTAATTGTGTTTTGAATCAGAAAACCTCATTTTATACTCAGGATAATTGATTACCAAGTAATAATAATCAATTATCAATAATCGATTATGACTTTCCATAATCGATTGTCACGAGCAATTATGAGAATTTTTAAGCAAGTTTAGAACTGTTGTGCATTCATTAAATGCATAATCGATTACCATAAGTGGATAATCGATTATCACACGTTAAATAACTGACAACGAATTTTTGGAGGTATCCTTGAGTGAGATCTCTATAAATTAGATTGAGACTCTTATTGTAATATATGAAATACGAAATACGATTATTTTGAAAATCTTATCTGTTTAGGTGTGTGCTTTGGTATGTGTTCTAGGGTTTGTGTAACCTTTGTGTTGTGACTTTGAGAACTTGGTGTTGGCATAGAGCAAGAACTTTCACAGAAGGTGTGATTGAGTGTTGTTGCTGAGTTGAAAGTCTGTCATCCTTTATGAAGATTCAAAGGAGGTGTTTCAGAAGTGTTCATCCCTTGTGGGTTTCAAGGGGAGTGAGTTTCATCTCTTGGGGTAACAAGAAAGACGTTCTAACCTTAAACAATTTTATTTTCTTTGTGATTGTAAAAATTTCTTGGTTTCTGATAGTAAAGCGTTAATTCTCGATTGAGATTAAAATCACCAATGCAATTTTGTCTCTTCCTAACTTTTTAATTTTTTTATTTGGTATTAAGGAATTGAATTTATACGAGAAAATTATTAAAGGTATTATTTATGATAAAAAACCAATTGACCCTTCTTGATTTGTTGTACACACTAATCATTATGTTGCATCGCTTGAACAACTATGTTACTTCTAGAGAATGAGAAAAAAAAATGATCTTTGAGATCTTGAATGAAGTCTTCTACTTCATGTTGTGTACGCCAATATATATGTATTAAAGGATCTTCATAAAACATTAATTGCATATCTCTTCTTCAAGCATTTGGATACATGACATTAACGCCTTTTTCAATAAATCTTTAATGTTGACTAATCTTCATTACAATCAAAAGGCACACAAAAGAGGTATTCCTCGTAATATAAAATAAAAATTTGTAATAATTGAGTTAATCATGAAATACTTAAGCATTATATATATATATATATATATATATATATATATATGATTTGTTAATTTATGTAATTAGGTGACAAAAAAAATTTTAATTATAAAAAAAAATATACTTTAAACACAAAAATATATTTTAATAATTTTTATTTTTAATTTAAAATAAAATAATTTAAAAAAAATTAAAAATTATTTAAATATTTTTAATTTTAAAATTTAGAATATATAATATATGAAAGTATTTTTGTCAACTAAAATTTAATACAGAGGTTAGATAAGTTAACAAATCCCTATAAATAAATGTGTTTTGCATTTGTTGAGGTTAGTCGAAACATTTCATACATTAGATAAAATATATGTCTTTTCATAATTTGATGTTAAGATAAAAACTAGTATTCTCTTTTAATACTTTGTTTCATAACACTTAATAAAAATAACTTCCAATGTAACTTTTATCTAACAAACCGTCTATCATATTTTTATTAAATAATTATTTTTTAAATACTTTAAAATAAAGGTATTCTAGATATATTTTAAAATATTATACGTATTTGAATAAAGTCTGATTATAATACCGAGTATTAAATTATATTTTGGATTATCATATTGTATATTACCTCTATTGATTATCATATTTAATAATATATATTTCGAAAGGATACAGTTTGTGAATATTTTATTTTAAGTATTATTATCTACCAATGTTATTATTACTATTATTATTATTATCTACCAATGTTATTATTACTATTATTGGAACCTATTGTCTATATTTTTTTTTATAATAATTAATGTATTTAAAAAGTTAACTTCGAAATACTTTTTAAAATTAAAAGGTAAAATAGAAAGAAAATGTCAATACTTAAATATTATTATTTATGTATTTATATGCGCGCGAGCGTTAGGAGGAAGAGGAAGCATTATAAACCGCGGGATGGATATAGCGGCAAGATTTGATTTAAGAACGAACTCTTTCTCTATAGAACAAGAGCATTTGCCTCACAGTTATTGGTTCATTCATTTTGTGTTTGAGCAATTTAGAAATCCTGATGTTGAATGAAGGTAGTTGTCTCCCCACGATGGATCTGCTACGGTCGGAGCCTATGCAAATGGCTCAATTGATCATTCCAATCGAATCAGCTCATCGAGCCATCTCTTACCTTGGCGATCTCGGCCTCTTCCAGTTCAAAGATGTGAGACTTATTTTCATTCCTCATTGCTCTTGTTTTAGATTCCTTACTATGAATTCTGAACCTACATTACCGTGATTCTTTTGATGCTCTCAATCAATTTTTTTTCAATTCTGTTTTGATGCCTTCATTTCTATGCATGTTATTTTTTTTTTACATTTGACAACTGTTTGTTTGGATTTATTTTCCAGCTCAATGTAGATAAAAGTCCATTCCAGCGAACTTATGCTTCTCAGGTGCATATAAAATCTCTACCTGTGCTTGCCTTTTGGTTACGTTTTAAATAGTAAAAATCGTCTGCGCATTTGTTGTGTTATTGAAGAGGTCATAACTCTAATGCCGCGAGATTTCGATAAACTGCCATATTTTGATGTCCTTACATTACGTGATAGCCTAATTGATCTTGTTTTGTCTTCAGTTGACAGTAATTTTTACGATTCACATTTTTGCTGAAAACACGAACAGAATTGTAGATATATTGTTTTTCTAAATGTAGATATGTCATATATGTTTTTCATTTTTTTTATTTTTTTTTATTTCAATAGGTTTTGGACGTTCAGTTATGTTATGGTAAACCTGTAATGAAAAATTGATTTCTATTGTTGCTATCTTAAGCACCTTAGAGAATTCCTTCAAAATATAGATTGATAATCTTAGGACTTATTTATATTAAATTAACATAGAGTGAAATTGATTTGGAAAAAACTAATTTTGAATTGTTGAGCTGATTGGGGATGTGTTCAAATTGAAGTTCATACATCTGGAGGGGAGTCACAATGAGATCGTTCTCTCTGTCCCTTTCTCTTTGTTCCAGAGGTATTGGTGAGGATCAGTGACAGATTATTATGTCTTTCTGGAAACTTTAAGCTCCTCCATTAATTTTGGTTTTGTATGGTAATGCAAATTATTAATGTTGCAAAAATATCCCATGTTTGGTAGTTCTAGTACTTTCAACACTTTGAAAAAGTTCGTAACAGAATATATTAATTCTGATACACCATATTTAATGGAAGTGATTTTGATTTACTGAACTGGAAAACCTATCATTTTATCTTCTAGATTAAACGATGTGGGGAAATGGCGCGTAGGCTACGGTTGTTTAAGGACCAAATGTTGAAAGCAGGCGTGTCACCCTCAACGAGCTCAGCAAGAAAGGATAATGTTGATCTGGAAATTTTGGAGGTCATTACATTCTATGAATCTTTTGTCACCCGTTCTTCTTCTCATGAATACAGTATCAAGTAATAATTTTTTGTCCATGTTTAGGTTAAACTTGAAGAACTTGAAGCTGAACTCCTTGAGATTAATGCAAATAATGAGAAGTTGAAACACACCTACAATGAGCTATCGGAGTATAAGCTTGTTCAAGAGAAGGTATGCTTTGCTAAGTTCTTTCACTACCACAAATGTCATAATAATCACTTCTGATAATTTTGTTAACTTTGCTGTTCATCTTTCTGGTGCTTAAACTCTATTTAGAATGTATAAGCGTTAACTTTTGGTATATTATTATGGTTTTTTTCTGTCTACATTTATGCATACTGTTAGTCCTTATTCTTGGGTTTGTTTTCTTTTCTTTCCTTGACTGGATAAGAAAACTGCAATCAAAGTGGTAATGGCTTTTTTTGATTTATCATTTCAGGTTGGTGAATTTTTCTCTTCAGCAAAAAGTAATGCCGTAGCTCAACAGAGAAAGCTTGAAGTCCAGATAACTGTTGAAAGGTCTATTGACAGCCCATTACTATTGGAACAGGTATAAGCTGCAGCTTTGTATTTGTTACTTTACAGATTTGTTCTCTTTCTCACGCTTGGTAAATTTATGCTCAGGAGGAGACGTCAACAAAGCAAATTAAGCTGGGCTTTATCAGTGGACTTGTTTCAAGGGAAAAATCAGTTCCTTTCGAAAGAATTCTATTTCGTGCTACTAGGGGAAACGTGTTTCTCAAACAGACTGTGGTTGATCATTCTGTTCTTGATCTTTCGTCAGAGGAGAAGGTTTAAATTGTGAAATCTAAGTCTTAAGCCTCTTGCAATTAGATATGTAATATAGTACTAGATCATCTAAGCTCCTCCTTTTATTTGAAAATATATGAACTAACAGAGACGAACCTGCTTTGACATAATTGTATATATAATTACTTTTTTCTGATTATGGAAATGTACTCTTGTATTGCTACCACTTCTATCTTCTTAGCTTTTTGGTCCATACAGTCATAGCCTCCCTTTTTTACAGGTTCATAAAAATGTATTTGTCGTCTTTTATTCTGGAGAGAGTGTTAAAAGTAAAATTCTGAAAATATGTGATGCTTTTGGAGCAAATCGTTATCCTTTCTCAGATGACTTGAGTAAACAACTTCAGACAATAACAGAGGTAAACTTAATCTTTGATTTCCGTTTAGTTTTCAGTTGTTGTTAAGCTTAGATTTCTGCTTAGTTTTCAGTTGCCTTTGATTCAGTTTTCAGTTGAATTTAATGAGAATAAAAAGAAACATAAAATAGTAAACCATGAGTGTTGTTTTGAGGAATTGATAGAGTATTCAATAAGAATGAGTGTTATATTTATCACTATTCTATTATATTTTATGTAGTGAAAAAGAGTAAACTTATGCATTTTTAAAGTTTTTGAATATTTAGCTTATATTCATAATACAGATAGAGATAGAGGTAGAAATAAATTTACTCTCAGATCAAAACCAATTTTATTGGTTAGGATAAAGATGAATTTAGCTATTAACTTCTGGTTAACAGAATCAAAAAAATTTATTCACAGTAGAGATATGGTTTTTAATGAAAGAATAACATTTATGGATAAATATAATATAGTTATTAGCAACTCAAAACCCAATAAACAACTGTCTGTAAAGGTAAGTAATTTTTCATGAACTCTTGTAATTGAGAGTCCTCAGCATGTCAGGGTATTCTACTTCAGTTCTTATATTATGTAGGTGTTCTCTACCGCATATCCCTAATAGAAGATACATGAACTTTATGTTATTGTCGGATGAAGGGAAAGCTTGAAACAATGACGAAACATATAACAAGCGGGAGCTTGTTATGAAAGATAAGATGAAGTCGTTGATCTCTAATGAAACTTGAGAATTAAATATGTTATCTGTGGGTAAAAAGAAACTTCACAACAAATGGGTTTAGGAAGATAATGATGGCTCCAATAAAGAAAGCCAACTAGTTATATTATTTCAGCAAAAGAAGAACATTGAAGTATTTATTCCAATTGTGAAGCTAAACACTACCAAGTTTGTCTTAAGCATTGTGGCTAGTGAAAATTGAATTTTTTTAATGGTAATTTAGAAGAGAATATATATATATATATATATATATACACACACACACACACACACACCAACTTAGAGATTTCTAAGAGAATGGGAAGAAGAATATACTCTTTATATCAAAGAAGAGTTTGTATAACTTGAATCAAACACCAGGATAATAGTTAGGAAGTTGGATGGCTTCTGGCAGATGGAAGGATTCCAAAAGTGCAATGTTCATTAATGTTGTTTCTTGAAGATATATAAATTCAATTATATCATTTTTGTTACTTTATATAGGTGATATGCTGGTGGTAAGTTTTAACATATGTAAAATTAAAATACTTGAAAGTGTAATGTCAAAAGAATTTGATTTGGACTTAAGTCCAACGAAGAAGATTCTTAGAAAGCAAATCACGAGGGATAAATAAAGAGGAGTTTTGTAGTTATCTTGGGATACATCAATCGTATTTTGCAAAGTTTTGACATGGAAGATATCAAGCTAATTAGCACATTTTTGTCTATTCATTTTTGCCTATTCTAGGATAAGTTATCTTGAGAGAAAAAGAGAGTTTATGACCTAGGTTCAACATGCTTCTATCACAGGAAATTTGATATATGCACTAATTTGTATAAGACCAAAAATATTAGCGATGTAATGGGAGTTGTAAACAAGTTGATGTCAAATACAGAAAAAGTTCATTCAGAAGTAGTGAAGTGGATTTTGAGATATCTATAAAACACTAAAGAAGTGTTTTATTTTCGTAAAGGAGAACTAAAAATACAAAACTATGCAAATGAAAACTTTGGAGGTGAAGTCAGTCATCAAAGAAGTACCACTAGTTAAATTTCTACGATTGATACTACAATTATTACTTGAATATTGCATATACACAAGATTGTTGTTAACAGAACTAGGATTCACTCAGAAGAAAAATACCTTGCACAATGATAGCCAAAATGTAATACATATGTAAAAAATTTGACATTTCATTCAATAACAAAGTACATTTGTTTTTGTTATCACTTCATCAAATCTTTTCTTGAAAACGAGGTACTAACATAGAAAAAGATTCAAGATAATATTGATCAAGGTATAAAGACAAATTAAAATAAGCGTGAGAAAAATTGTTGAAAGTGATCAACAAACATTGTTTTAATGTTGAGAGAAATAAGGAAAAACAATAAAAGGGAAATAATTAGAGCTAAGTATTAGGGGAATAATGTGCAGAAAAAAAAATTGCACTCTCATAAATATCATCCATTTACTTTGTAAATTAATCAGTTTCAATAAAAGAAAATAACAAGAAAGAACATTAGTGAGAAAAAACATTATTTCGTATATAACTATTCACCATATTAGAGATTTCGGATTTTATGATGCGAGCTTCTTCCCACTTCCCCAAGCCCAAGTGGTTGGTCTACTTTATCCACAGTAGCAGAGCCCTTCATAGACTGATTACAGAAAATAATTACTGTGTACTATGAACTTTATAGGTTTCAGGAAGACTTTCAGAATTGAAGACTACAATAGATGCAGGATTGCTTCACCGGAGCACTCTATTGCAGACAATGGCAGATCACTATGAGCAGTGGAGTCTTAAGGTTTGGTTCATTTTACATCTAGTATCTGTATGAGCAGTGCATAGACAACATACTATTTTATTCAAGGTTTTTTTTTTCTTTTTCAGCTTTGTTACTAAGCTTCTGCAATTAATTTTCATTTCAATGCTAACTTTTCCTTTCTTCAATTTTAACTCATAGCTGAAGAAGGAAAAATCAATTTATCACACTCTAAATATGCTTAGCATTAATGTGACAAAGAAATGTCTCCTTGCAGAAGGTTGGTGTCCTGTTTTTGCGACAAGCCAGGTCTTCCCTTGAACTATGAATTTAATTTCTGATGCATTGTGAAGAAGCATACATGTAATGCTGTTTTTACTGGCTGGCATAGCTAATTAATTTGATTCAATACTTGACAGATTCACAAAGTGTTGCAGCAGGCAACTGTGGAATGCAGTTCTCAAGTTGAGGCGATATTTCAGGTCTTAGAGACAAAGGAATCACCGCCTACCTACTTCTGCACAAACAAATTCACTTCTGCTTTTCAAGAAATTGTAGATGCCTATGGGTAAGTTATGTGGCTCTCAGCATGAGAATTTCAAATTTCATTCCCTCTCTTTTTAAAAATAATCCCTAGCAGGTAATGACGATCTGATTTGCACTTTTATACGGGTCCTCTCAGTTGTTACAACTTCTACTCATCTGTTTATTTGTTTTATTAAACCTGAGAATATATTTGGAAAGTGAAATCACTACAAAATTAACTTGTATCTATAACCAAAAATAGAGAGAGAAAAGAGAACAAAAGGCTTGTTGTTATTATTACTGATACTGATACAAAAGTATTACACTATACTTCACACATAGACTTAACGTGTGTGTATAAAGGAAAGGCACATGCATGAGCAGTTATTAGATATTTATGTAATATACCACCCCGTTAAGTTTAGCACAACCATAAGTTTAGCACGAAACAAATGAAACATGGATGATGCCAGAGGTTTTGTGAAGATGTTTGCAACTTGAAATTTTAAAGGCAGATGAACCAGACTTAGTGTTTTCTTTTGAACATGGTCTCTAACAAAGTGGAGATCTAGTTCAAAATGTTTAGAATGTGAATGTTTCATTGGATTTTCCGCTAGCAACATTGCTCCAAGGTTGTCAATGTATAATGTTGGTGTAGGTATGGAGACTCGAAGCTCGGTGAGCAACGAAGACACCTAAATGATGTCTGTGAGAGTGGAGGCAACACTTTTGTACTCAACCTCTGTGCTACTTCGAGAAACTGCTTTTTGCTTGTTACAAAACCATGAAACCAGAGTGAAGCCAAAGTAGATGGAGTAGCCAGTAGTGGAATGTCTGTCATCTACATCAAAAGCCCAATCTGAGTCGTTGAACCCAACCAAATGAAGATCACAAATAGATTGAATGATAATGCCATGATTGGATGTACCAACAAGGTATATAATTATTCTTTTGACGACTTTCTAGTGATGTTCTTGGGGAGCTTGCATGTATTTTGGACGACTTTGTTAACTGAGTAAGCGATTTTTGGACGTGTCAATGTGATATATTGAAGGGCTTTAACAATCATGCGATATTCAGTAGGATCATAAACAGGGGATAAGCCATCTTTGCTGAGACGTGAAGCGGAGATCATGGGAGTCTGTTGAGGTTTGGCATGTAGCATGTAAACTTTTGAAAGAAGACCATGGATGTATTTTGTCTGAGAAAGGTCTAGAGCTCCTTCTAGTGTCCAGGAAGCCTCAATCCCTAAGAAAAAATGTAATGGGCCTAAATCTTTTAGTGCATAGTTAGTTTGAAGAATGTGAATAAGGTGTTGAATAGCAAGCAAATTATTACCTGTAATTATTATTTCAAAATAGGTTAACACAAGCAAGGTATTGTCATTTTGAAAATGAACGAATAAGGAAGAATCTTACTTTATAGAATGATAACCAAGAGAATTGTTTGGAGTCCCACATTGACTAGAGATAAGGCCAGTTTAGAGTATATATGTGCGTGCAAACTTCACTTTACGAGCCGATTTTGTGGAATTGAGTTAGGTTTGTGGACTTTAAGCCTAACTCAACCCTACAAAATCGACTTGTAAGGTGAGGTTTGCACCCACAAATATATTCTAAATAACTCTATTCAATGTGTGAATTCCAACACCTCCTTCTCACGCCAATGTATATACCAGGAAGTGTGTTGGAAGTCCCACATCGATGACTATAGATAAATCCAATTTAGAATATATATAAGTAGGTGCAAACCTCACCTTATGGTTTTGTGAGGTTGAGTTAGGCTTAAAGTCCACTTCTTAACATATAGTATCAGAGCCATGGGTTAGAGCTTATCAGGCCACTACCGGACTGCCCATTAATGTCTATTCCCACACACAAGATGTATATACCTTGGCGTGAGTGGGGTATGTCGGAAGTCTCACATCGACTAGAGATAAGACCAATTTAAAGTATATGTGGGTACCTCACTTTACAAGCTGGTTTTGTTAGGTTGAGTTAGGCTTAAAGTCTACTTCTTAACAAGAATAAAGAGTTGCACTAAGCTTTAGAAACCATGATCTTGGGGCTTGCTTTAAGCCATAGTTCGCTTTGTTTAATCTACATACAAGATTAGAGTTATCAGAGAAACCTAGAGGTTGAGACATGTAGACAGTTTCATGAAGAGAGCCATGGAGAAACACATTATTAATATGAATTTGGTGGATAGGCCATTTGTGAGCAATAACAAGAGTTAATACAAGCTGAAATCCTTTTGGAACGAGATAGGCTTTTTGTCTTTGTTGAGATTCATACGCATTGTACTTGTTCCTAAAAAACCATTTGTAGCCAATGATTTTAACATCAATGGGAGGGGAGACAAGAGTCCATGTGTTGTTTTGTACAAGAGCTTCATATTCAGTAGCATCATGCCATTGTGGTTCAGATAGGGCTTCTTTCACTGTGACAGGTTCAGTGTGGATGGTAGTAAGACAAGTATTATAAAGTTTTGGTTTAAAAATACCTTCCTTTGATGGGTTACCACATGATGTGTGTTAGGTGCGACATGCTACGAAGAGGATGTTGAACCTGGCGAAGTCTCAGTTGGAGAATTGTCTAGAGGAGCATCAGTAGAGGATGAAGTTGGCGATGACATGATAGGAGAAGTTGCATCGTGATTTGTTGATGCAGCAATAGTGGTGTTAGGAGATGAAAAATTGTTATCATCTTGAAATGTAGTGTTACACATATGTTTATGAGAAACCATAATACGAGGAAAAAGAGAGGAAAATGGCGTGTTAGAAGTTAAGTAACAGAATGTGTCGGAAGAAAAGGATTTGAGGCAAGTTTGAATGGAAATTTATTTTCGTTGAAAACTACAAGCTTTTGGATATATATCTTTTACTTGAAGGGTTAACACAGACATAATCTTTATATTTCTAATTGTAGCCAAGTAAAATGCACAACATTTAACATAAGGTAGTTTACTTGAGTGATATGGGCGCAACATAGGATAACAAGAGCATTCAAAAGGGCTTACAAGAGCATAATTTAGTGCTTTTTGAAACATTGTCTCAAGGAGATTTATGTTGTAAAGCAGGCATGGGCAACAAATTTATTATCTAAACAGAAGTTTGAAAAGCTTCCCCCAGTATTGCATGGGTTAAAAAGATGCAACAAGCAAAAGAAAATCCAACATCAACTATGTGGAAATGCTTTCTTTTAATTGAATTGTTTTGTTCATGGGTATAAGGATATGTAAATCTATGCAATATGCGACAATCACATAATAGAGAAAAGAACACAAGAACTCTTTAGCGTTATATGATTGAAGACACTTAATTCTACAACCTGTTTGAGTTTCAGCAAACATTTTAAAGTTTTTGAAAACACATAAAGCTTGATATTTATGAGTTAACAAGTATATCCAAGTGTAACGTGAATACGCATCTAAAAAGGAAATATAGTTCCGAGAGCCATATGATGCAGTCAAAGATGCAAGGCCAAATGTCCATAAACTCTAGTTGTAAAGGAGTGTGATAAGCTGTAGTGGAATCTTTGAAAGACAATTTATGGGATTTAGCTATAGTACACGCATCACAAAATTCACCAATATGTTTACAAGATATATTGCAAGTATATAAAACATGATTTGCAATGAGTGAAGACACATGTCCAAGTGTTGCATGATAGAGTTTGTATAGAGAAATTGAAGTGGAAAATGTAGTATTACAAGTAGTGATGGAAGATGTATTAAGAAGCAAAGGAAAAACATATAAGTCATTCCTAATAAATCCTTGCAGAATAATATGTTTGGTGTGCTTTGATTTTACATAGCATATGTTGGCATGGAATTAAAAAAAGTTATGATTATCTTATGCAAATTTGGACACACTGAGAAGATTTTTCATGATAGAAGGAACATAAAGAAGATCATGTAAAGTAAGAGGTTAGTGTGTGTGTGGAGTAGTGAAACTAGTAGAACCAATTGAAGAAATTGAGATACCTGAACCATTGCAAAGTTTGACCGAATCTTTACCTGTGTAAGAGCGCTTTTAAGTTAAGATTTGAGGTTGAGTGATGTGGTGTGTTGCACCACTACTCGGATACGATAATAAGTCATGAACATTTGATGAAGTACCAAATATAGACGAATCTACATCTTCGGAAGGAGATAACTGTCTAGAGTTAGCTGAAACAGAAGAAGAATATGACTGATCTGTTAGGGTAAACTTAAATGTGATAGATTTAATTAGATTGTTTATTTGTTTAAGAGTTATGTCAGTTTTAGAGTGCAAAAGTGACTAATGGTTATTAGACAATAATAGGAAATAAATGTTGTCTTAACGATAAAGTATACAACTTTGTAGGTGAAAAGCTAATATGTAAGTTTATAAATTGTAAGTGCCTGATTGACAGACAGTGTGGCATACACTAGAAGCATATTTAGAAAATATTACTAAGTGTCATTTTTCTAACAAATTGACATCAGAGCTAAAAGAGCCTGAGTGTCCAAGTGAGAAAGAAATTGTGAGAGAGAGATGACCAGCCTAGCAAACAGTGTGTCCTTGCCTCAGTTGATAAAGAAAGTAAACTTTGACAATTGGAGTGTGCATATGAGAGCTCTTCTAGGATTTCAAGACATGTGGGATGTTATTGCGATTGGCTATGAAGAGCCCACGAAAGATGTAGAGCAGATAGTGGTCCAAGTTGCCGCATTAAGAAAATCACGAGTGAAGGATCAATCAACCCTGTACATACTGTACCGAGTTATTGATGAATCTGGCTTTGAGAAGATAGTGAATGTTAAATCTTCAAGAGAAGCTTGGCAGATTCTTGAGATAGTTTACAAAGGGATAATCGTGTAAAGCAAGTTAGACTTCACACTCTCAAAGGCGAGTTTGAGAGTCTGAGAATGGAGAGTAGAGAATGAGTGGCTGAATATATATCTCGAGTGGAGGTGATAAAGAATTAACTCGAAAGAAATGGAGAGAAGTTGCCTGTCGGTAGTATTGTGGAGAAGATCCTAAGGTCGCTGATACGGCCTAGTAGAAGAGGCCCAAAA